GTTTGGGTCCCGTGGGAAGTCCGTTAAGTGTGGTCGGGATATGCGGTTTGGTCATTTCCACGTTGATGTGGTTAACGACGATTGTTACCGGTTGGGTGTTTGTTGGTTCGCGTGCGAGCGGTAATCGGTTCAGACCCGGATCGCATCATCCAATGTTGGCTACCAGTCGATGGACAGCTATAACTCCCAGAATCGGGGAACATGTGATGTCCGATGCCAACGATGGAGAACCTTTCACGTTTGATGGAAATCACTACAGTTTGCACTCGTCGGGACCCGCTGTACTGCGCACTACTCAGGTTTGTTGATACAGTTGTCCTTTGCAGCTAATAACTTGCAAACGTTTCTGATTTCTAACCAAGAAAGAAAACAAAGACATTCGGTGTGTATTACTGATATTTTGTCCTGGCGCTAAAAGATAAGTGGTAATCAGTGGTGACACGGTGTATTGGCTTGACCAGTTGTGTCACCCACTTNCTTCAGTTCAGAAGTAAAAATCCCTGTCTCTGGGTTACAGGGTTGACGGTCGATATCTCTAGTGAGTAGCTGCCGCAATTCAAACTTGCATCAGTCCATGCCGTGTTTACAAGCACTGAAAACTGGGTTTGACCTTGTTGTATCAAGGATGGGGAATTTATTCCTTGGAAGATCATGCGTTGGTTCTAATGCCTGTGCGATTCGAACCGCCTCATCCAAACATAACAGTATGAGACCTGTTGTCTTTATCCCGCCTCTTTCATGCGATAAGTCGTTAGTATTCTAACGCTTTTAGCAGTCTACTCTCAACCTGTTTAAGGCTTTGTTCAATTAAAATATAGTTCGATTTACAGCGATTCGATTGGAACAAATTCTTTTCACCCCGATGAATTGTTGCTCACCGAAATCATAAGATGGTACAAGATCCATGAATGTAGCACTTACTGTTATCATCGTACGAATCATTTCTCACTGGCTCAAATTCACCTATTCACCGGTTTATGCTGAATTATTCTATTTAAAACTTACGCACGCATTGTTCGCTCAGCCTGCATTCTCCCTCTCTCCTAGGCGGGTGATCTACGGAATTCCGACCTCTCGGCCCTTACGAATGCGACTGATGCGGAAGCAGAGGCTGAGGTAACTGATGTGAACTACAATCGTGCGGTCAGTCTGGATCCTCGTCTGACTTCGCAGAATCAAACTCTGAATGTGAATCTTTTACGAAACACAATGCCAGAACGTATCGGCGTCCGTCCATTTGATCAACATTCATTTATTGCGCCTGTTCTGATTAGCTTGGTCGATCAAGAACCCACACCCACCACAAACTCGGTGATCAATGTAGAACCCGAGTGATGCATTTACAGTCTTAGTTACCTTCATTCCTCAGTCTATCGGTTAGTCGCTTTGCAAGCCGTTTTGCCTGGTCATGTGGCTGATTGTTTGGTTTGATACACCGAACGGAGCATTCATCCAATCTGTCACTGTGTCTCGTTCATTCATTTCTTCGCTCATTACTTTTAAGATCTCACCTATCTGCTCAAGATTTTCCTCACACATCGGTCATTCATTTTATTTTCGCTCCTGAATCAGTTTGACAGCCTCTTTCTGCGTCAATATCATCCATCCTGTATTCTGCTTTCACACACAACCATATTGATGATGATGATCAGGCGCTTCCGTCACTTGTATCATTCTCTGACAACAGACCCCCCCCTCTACCTTATCCCGCGTGTAATTTGACTGTTTTTGTCGACTATGTTTATTTAACTTGCTTTTGTACGCCAAACCATATTTTGACCAACTCTCAATTGATCATATTGCAGTTGGTGATCCAATCACCAATGTATCGTTCATCCTGTCTGCAAACTCGCCTACTCCCCTCATGACTTTTTCTTTCTTGCTATCTTTCGGACCGTGTTTGCATCTGGTTTCATAATTCTGTAACAGATTGTTTCAAGTTCTTTTGCTCCCAGGGTGAATTCTTCAATATGTACTACACACAGACAAGGACTGTGCTCAGCATTCATTATTGCTAGTTATCAAAACTGTGGTTGGTGTTGTTGATTGGTAAGTGTCGAGGTTCACTCCCCTGTTTGCTTCCATTTTGGTGACGGTAAATTCGAACGGGTTGACACACTCAGAGTCGAACAGTTTGAATCATTCGAATTGATGTATTTTGCATGTCATCAAGTTACCGGCCGATAAAATACAAATGAACAGAAGGTATTCGCTTTTCAAAAATGTTCCCATCAAGCAATCCCATCTTCAGATTGTGCTCAGATGTTTCAATGGCCAGCAGGTGAGCTCCGACAAATGCACATGGAGGAAGAAACATTCGGAAAATCCAAGTGTGTTATCTGTACGCACTTGGGCTGATTTTCCAGTTAGGCTTCCTGAGTGGTGACCTGCGGATCATTTTAATAAATGGTTTTATACACTGAGTGATATGACTTTGTCGTAAACAGTGGCGCTCGCGCATTTCTATTAATTCCTTTGCAACCTTAGTCTACCGGAATTCTGTATTTTCTCTGTAACACGGCTTTCAATTTTCCAATTATCCTTCGATCCCTTCACACAAAGAAGCAGTTGATAGACAGCAGCCAAAACAGCCCCTTAGAATTGCAAGGTTGTTTGTTGTATAAACTGAAAACCAAACTGAACTGAGTCCGGGAGAACATAAGCCACTGAGCGTAAATAGACAGATTGCGATTCTGCTGAATCGATTCACTAGGCGGAAACAGGATGCATACAGATCAATAAAACACCAACTCTAGCGATACTCGCGAAGTCGGTATCAAAGCCGAGTAGCCACGTGCCATCCGATGCGGGTCAGCTTTCATCAGTTTCACAACTTAGTGTGGCCTAGTTTGGAATTTCACTAAACCAAGATAATGCGAATCAGCAGGTGACCTGAAAAGAAGATGAATTGCCCTGGCGAGGATATGAGCTCATGGATCATCAGTGATATATTGATTCACTCGTCGAAGACGTAAATCCCGCTGACAGCCCAAACTGGCTAGAATATAGAATGGTATGAGACGTGAAACGTGAATTGTTTATGTGATTGTTTGTCAATGAATGACATCCGTGGTGACGGATGTGACCGTGATTTGAACACACTCTAGCTGGGGGGAGGGTCGATGATCATTTTGACGAGTCTTCGTGCCGGCAACCATCCTCGGCTGCATTCGATTTGGATTAAAAGTTTGATGTGAAAGTTTAGACCCAGGTAAAGCTATGGGTAAGCCCCGAGTTGTTGGTCGTACACAACCAGCTTTGTAGTAACAGTAGTTATTGTTGTTGAATTGTTCAGAAAGTTTTACTCCTAAAGTCATTGGATAAGGTGCATGTTAAACATTCATTCCGTACTTTGTCCGTGATGGTTCGAATCCAGCTGGTGGGGTTGCGTGTGAAAACGAGCTTAGCTCTATTCGTTTTATTCACGTAGTACGAATAATACCCTAGATTAAAAGATCCGGACAGTAAATTGAAATTTCCGAAGGAAGGTAACTGTGGTAGCCCGCTTCACAGACGTAAAGTACACTAGAGTTTATTCGTGGTGAACGGATGCATCGGCTGAANTACCTTGCTTTGTTTACAATCACGCCGGCGTTTAAGACATGTCAACAGTATCTGCATTCGTTTCTTTTGCGTTCCTGATTCTGGCTTTAAAATGCAGATTTCAGTTTCCTCAACAGTGTTTAGAACGGACTATCTATTTATTTTTCAAAGTCTCGTTATTTTCGGGGGTGAGTGTTTTCCTCTTTGGCTGATTGCCGTTCTCCTGCATCTTTCGAACCGCTCCTGTTCCTTTAGCAGGACTAGCCTAACTGCTGCATCCTATACTCAACCCTTCACAAATAATCGGATGTCGCGACGCCGCTACAGATGTCTTAATTTGGCAAATGCCGATCGGGCCTTTTGCATGCCTACCGACACTTCATCTGTGATGCTTACACTTTGAACGTGCAAAATGCATACCGAATATGGCTATACTAGCATTCAACCTAACCAGAAAAGTTTGCAAATTACCTGGATCTTCAATTAGCAGCACAATGTCGTCTACATATTCCAGATCAGACAGTCTATCACCTGGGAGCCAATCGATGCCGCTATCTTCGCACAAGGATGGGACTGTTTTCATGATCAAATCTAAGGCAACATAAAATGTGAGAAACGGCAACCCTGGCGAACATCCCTTTTTGTAGTGAACTTGGGCCTAAATGTGCCGTAAGCTCGGATTCGGCTTTGACTGTTGGTATAAAGAGATCGAAGTTTCAGTTTCAGTTTGCACAACCATTAACTATGCATTATTGTGCGCCGGTTTTGGTTGCTATCTTTCGGCTGCCCATCTGGATGAACATGAGTAGAAAGACAGGAAAGGTTGAAAGTAGGATCGAAGAGAAAATTGAAAAGTTCAGTGAATTAATGATACAGAGGATTTAAGAAAATGCATGAACGCCACCGTTTACGACACCCAGCCATATCATTCAGTGTGTCTAACCATCGGGTACGATCATCTCGAAGTCCCCATCCAGGGAGCCTAACGGGACCTGTGTGATCCAAACTACTGGTTAGGGTTTTCATACCGTCATGCCAGGTCTTAGCTTGACCACCTTGGGCTTTCTTCCACCCACTACCTGCCTCGGCAAACATGGCTCGCCGTGGNCGTGGCAGCCTATTTGAGGACATGCGTAACACATGCCCCAACCAACGTAATCTATGGAGGTCGACCACCTGCTCCAGTGGCCGACCGCGGTTGCCTAAAACTTTTTGCCTGACCTCAGTATTGCTCGTCCGGCTACCCCACCAGATTCGTGCAATGCTACGTAGCCAGCAGCGATCAAACACCGACAGTCTGTCTTTTTCCTGTTTTCTTAATGACCAAGTTTCTGCCCCATATAGCAGAACTGGCCGAACTACTGCAGCATATACTCGACCCTTCACAGACAGCCGGATGTCGCGACGGCGCCACAGATGTCTCAAGTTGGAAATGCCAATCGAGTCTTCTGTATGCGAGCTGACACTTCTTCTGTGATGCGTCCACCGGGTGATATGTAGCTACCCAGATAACAAAACTTCTCCACCTGCTCTATTACTTCTCCAATAAGAGTGAGACTGGGTGCGGGATCAACCCAGTCTTGTAGTAGCATCTTACACTTTGAAGGTGCAAAACACATACCAAACATGGACACACTAGCACTCAAACTATCCAGAAAAGCTTGTAACTTATCTGCTTCTTCACTTAGTAGCACAGGGTCATCTGCATACTCTAGATCAGACAGCCCGCCACCTGGGAGTAAATCGATGCCACCATCCTCGCGCGGGGGTAGGGCTGTTTCCATAATCAGATATATATCAAAGTTAAATAGAAATGGAGCGAGAGGGCAACCCTGTCGAACACCACTTTCCGTGGTGAACTCGGGTGAAAATGTGCCGTAAGCTCGGACTCGGCTTCGGCTACAAGAGGGATCGTAATATTGAAATAAACTTCTCGGGTACACCTTTCAGGGGAAAGGCAGTGCCAGAGTTCAGAACGGTCGACTGAGTCGAAGGCCGCTTTAAGATCCAGGAAAATAGAGATGGTGGGTCTACGAAAAGAATGTCGGTGCTCCAGAGTTTGGCGAAGAGTGATGTCGATACAACCCCAACCAGGTCTAAAACCAGCCTGGTTCTCACGCGTTCACCGTTTACGTGCGGCAGGCAATCGACGGAGTATGATATCAACGAGAAGTTTAGATGCAGTGTTAATTAAACTGATTCCTCTGTGGTTTTCGCAAGAGGATGTCACCTTTCTTGTAAATCGGTATGATCACCGATTGGTACCATTTAGCTGGAACCTGTTCTCTCTCCCATACTTTGCCCAGGAGTTTCGTTCACTCCGAAACAAATGTTAAGCCTCCATCCTTAAAAGCGGATGGGGAGAGCCCGTCTTGGCCTGAGGCCTCATGCCTTTTGAGATAACTTATTTCCCGAGATACCTCCATTTCAGATGGAGGACTGGCATCGACTGGCAGAATTTGCGCAGTTGCAGTGGAGAGTGACAGTTCAGATGTCGATGGGGGCCAGTTGAACTGAACCTCGAAATGTTCAGCCCATCGATCAAGACGGCGTTGTTAATCGTAAATCAGCGTGCCATCGGATTCCTTAATTACCTCGCTTATTTTCCCAGGACCCATATTCCTAAATAGGCGGAAAAGATTGCGACTATTACCAATAGCCGCAGCCTTCTTCATCTCTCTACACTTTCCTATCGACCACTTCTCGCGGTCATTCCTCAGACTCTTGATGAGTGGGCGTTTGAGGGATTTGCGCACTGTCACATGTGACATCGGGAGGAAGGGTTCTTCGGG